TGCCCAAAATGTAAATGGAATTGTGACCATTACCAATCGAATGGCTTTTGCCGTTGTAGCCCATACGGTAAACGAGATTGTGATATAAGTCGAGAACATTGTTGGGCAGACAACGTAATCCACATTGATTTTCCGTCAAATCCTCGACTTTCCGAAGTTAACATAATTCTCGATGGTGATAATTTTTCACAACGAATTATAGTTGTATTAATTGATTATTTCATACATCAAGGATGTAAAACAGTTGGGATGGTTATTTCGCCATCGAAATATATTGGAATTATTAGTGGAAGTTATGGTGACCAGGTCAAATTGGAGTTTATTCGTCTTATCGAAGGTGGACATGTACTGGTTATTTCGGCAGCTAATTCAATGTATTATGATCACACGGGTGGTTGTGAAGATGCGGTTGTTTTACACATTGGCATGTATCATCGAGCCATAGTACTCTCAAATGACACGTTCAAACCGAAAATTGGTGAAGAACATGAACTCATTCCAAATACCATTCTTCATATAGCTGAAACCAAAATTTCTGATTATGAAATCTTGCTAACATTCACCACTTCGTCTAATCTCACTCAAGCAGGTCCCGATGTTATAAACTATGTAATAGATAATGTTCTCGCGCAAAACACACCGACTGATCCCATATGTACAAGTTCAGCTATAGAACCCCATATTCCAGAAATTCTAAAACGACATCGAATTTATAATCTGAATAAACATCTGGATCGATGTGATCGTGTTCTTTATGAGCATTATTCAAAGTTAGAAAAATATACTCAACAATTAAATACGTTTACGAGACAAATAGAGAAAGCACCGATTAATGATATGGAGTTGATTGAAACATTAAACGTGAGAAAACAACAAGTGATTGAAAATAGAGAAGCATATAAAGACAAAATCGCATCACTATTAGAACAAAATATAAAATTTAGAGAAGAAATGGTTCAACAATTAACTATATTAGGTTAGTTAAAACTTTTTCAAAAGAAATTTAAGCCTACAATTTCGTTCGTCGTTTTACATTGTCCTTTGTCAGCATCACTTAGTAGAAACCTCCACTTGGAACAAAAACTAAATCAAGTTGGTATGGGTACCCCTGAAACTCGGCTATATTGGGTTTCACTATCTAAAATAACCATCAAAAAGCTTTTCTGGAAAAAGGGTTGAGAGAAACTTGTTTATGTGACCCCAAAACTACATTTACAAAGTAAGGTGCGAGAAATTCAAAATCACAGGATACTAGGTTTTTTCATTTGTTAAATATGATTGAAGATAGTGCACGTAAGTGTATTAGAAAAATTAGTTTTTACTTTTTTAAAAGATCTTTTGAGAAAAAAATTCAATTGCTGAAGTTCGCGAAAAAGGCAAACCTTTCAATGAGCTTTTCTAGTGGAGTAGGTTTTTGAAAAATTCTATAGAAATGTTTCCCATACCTCAATGGTCTGCCAGCCGATTCTTCGATAACTTTTACCTATACTGATGAATTTTTACTGTAGTTGAGTCGAAATTGAAAGTTTTAGAGGAGAATAATATTGCCATTTTAGAAAAAACATTCGATTTTCTTTTAAAAATTAATTTTCTCGGAAAGGAAGTAAAATATGTAGAAAAGCACTTCATATTCGTGTTGCTGGCAGTGAGACTAATAAAAATGAATAGAAATCTTGGCTTCGTCTCTTACCAATAAAAACTAGATGTGTTTATGAAATGATCCTGTAGTGATTCCACACATTGACCTTGGATCAAAAACTCAAATCAGCTTTCTTCCTTAGAAAAATCTTAAAGCAAGATTTTCCTCGCGTCTTACTTCAGTTTGTTACTATAGTTCAAATTACATACTTTAGTTCCATAAATTGACTTATTTATATAACAAACGTTTCGACCTCTTTGACTGAGGTCTTTCTGAGTGGTAAGAGTTTCAAGTAAATTAAACTAAAAATAGTTACATTCTTTTACAAGTAACGTTAACATATTGCCAACATTATATGCAAAAATTGTAGAAACTACACCGTGAGGGCAAAGTACAATTCTTACATCTAATGTTGATAATATGTTAAAGTTATTTGTAAAATAATGTAACTGTTGTTAGTTAATTTACTTTAAACTCTTACCACTGACAAAGGCCTCAGTCGAAGAGGTCGAAACGTTTGTTATATCAATAAGTCAATTTATGAAACTAAAGTATCTAGTTGAAACTATAATTATTGATCTGTTTTGTATCAGCAAAATCAATTTGTTAAAATACTTCAGTTTAGAAAAATGCTCGTTTGTGTAGGTAACATTGATCGTTTTAAACCCGTATCCATTCGCTCCGGCCTTCCGTATTACATCTTTGGCTCCGAAAACAGCCTCGATATTGATACTTTAGTTCTTCTCAAAGACTACCAAAAACCGTCCACATATGTTGAATGCCAAAAACTGATGAACAAGTTCATTTACGAATTTCAAGATTTACACTGTTTCGCAAGCGACAAACCTATCAATGTAAATCTTGCAGTTCTATCAGAGGGCATAATTACATGGGTGTTGAAAGGCATTCCTGATGAAACCAATAATAGTGTCTTTCGTACATATCATTTACACAGACAACATCATCCACTCGAAATCCAGCGACTCGTTGCTCGTGATATTGAAAAGAAAATTATTCGTGCTACACGAGCTATTCTGTCTCAGCTAACAAAATCTGAACGACGACATAATGTTAAAAACGCGTTGAAAGCAAACCAACTCTATATACGTCTCGATGCACTTAAGCCAATTTGTTTTCACGAGCTCGATTTTAAACAATCTGAAAAAGATTTGACTGAGATCGTAAAACTGACTGCGTTTCAACTTGGCCAGACAATGGCTTTGGTAAAAGAAAACAGAGAACTGTATACAAAAATACAAGTAGCGGAATATGATCCGAGATTGAGGCAGTATCTAATGAGAGAAACGGGATGTAATTTGGAAATATTGACGCAAGTTAAAAATGAATATGTCGCAATGATTGAACATATGTTTGTCCAACAGCCAGAATTAAGAACGCAAGCAGAAGTGTTAGTTACTGACTGAGTAGACTGTTTTCGCGCCTCGGACTGGCTATCGCACTTGTGTCCGAAAATTTTCAATAGGAGAAAATATTTCCAAATTTCCGTATATTTTCTGTGTTTTAATCCATATGTTTATTATTGAATAAAAAAAAACATCAGTACAAAATGAGTCTCCAGAAATATCGTGATGAAGTATATTTCTTATCGCTGGATGGTAGACTACTAGCATATACGCAAGATTATTGATAATACTCTCAGAAGTATTCTCTGTTGTTGTAAGTCGACAGTAAAACGTAATAGCAATAAACGAACTCATACCTATGACATTTATAATTGATAATACAGTAAATCTTTTCGCGAGATTAAAAGTTTCCTCAAAACTCGTATCGAGCGAGTTTTGAGACACCAACATTCACAAAACTTTACCTCAAAAACTCATGTGAGCTAAATACTACCACTAGAGCATCGAATGTAAGGAATTATCAAGCTTCTCTTTCGTCCTCGGTTCTTAACAACTCCAAACGTATCTTTTATCATCTACAATTTCAAGGATACTTAAGAGCAGGATTCTAATCATATTTTATCTCAATTAAAATCGATGATGTGTTTCACTGTATTTATTTTAATCATAAGAACATGGATGATGAAAAACTGTAGAAAGAAAGAAAATCAAAAGAAGACATATTGAAAAGAATAATTTCGAAACAGTGGCGGAGCCAGGATTTCGAGTTAGGGAGGCCCAGCCCTTGACCTTTTTGCCTTATCTAAGAGTATATGAAATTTTTCCGTTAACCCTATGAAGAATATTTTTTTTTGGCGATTCTTTTTTCGTCAGGCTACAGATTCAGCTCAAGAGTAAGGAAAGCAAAAAACATAATATTTTTTCAATTTTAGTGCTTCATAGAAATAACAAAATAATATCATTTTTTGATAGTTAGAATGCAGCCTATTTTTTTTCTCATTAGTTTGAAACAATTAACGTTCGTTGGTTCGACTTACTTGACCCTCGACTGTATCAGAAGGAAATATATTCCGCATGTGCTGTATGGAAAGAATCGATCTATCAGCTTTATCACAATAACTGACTCAGATCTCGATTTCTTGAATCCTAAAGGTCGAAGAAACTGATCGGACTTTTTGTAAAATAGTTCAGGATAAATCTTACTTTTCAGAAAGAGATTGTAAAAAATAGCAATTTTTTATCCAAGTGCACTTTAACTAATAAATATTGGAAGCAAAATAAATGTTATACTGTTACACACTAGTAACATGATGAAATAAGCTGATTTTACTTGGTAATATATGCTCATACAGTAATTAAGAAACTTGATATTAAGAAACTTGATATTAAAAGTCTTATGTTTACGAACAATATACGACTTAAGCGATTCATTTGTAATGATGAGAATGTGAAGGAATAGGAAAGCATAAATAGCTACTCAATATCATTTTATTATATAATAAAGAAAAGAAAAACTATTGCATAAAAATTCATTAACAAGAACTATCAAAATGAATAGAATATATGTGAGTAAAATGTGCGAGAAAAACATGTAACATGCAAAAAAAAATTAATAATAGAAATATAAAAAGTTTAACATAAACTACATATGTAAAACTATAAATGTTAAGAATCGTGTGCAAAGTTTTATATCATATGAAGAAGACATTAAAACCATTCAGGAAAACGCTTTTGTGTTTCTGAATATAGTTTATCTAGTCTTTCTATTTCGGCCAGTTGAGATTTACTTGGTTTCATTGTTAAAATTTTGTAATCAAAATGTCGTAAAATAATTAAATCAGCCAAGCGTTTCACGCGTGACCAAGGTACATAAACTGCAGCAATGTCATCGGTTTCATTTGGCAGCTTCAGATCAACTACGACATTATGTAAAATTTGGCCTTGACTTTTATGTGTCGTAATACAATAAGCAGGTACAAGTGGTAGTGCACGCCGCTTTACTGATAAAATGCCTTTCGATTTGATTTTGGTCTCTTATCTTTTGGTAGAACATCGGCAATATCAATTCGAAATGTTTGTTCCATTAACGGTATCGGAATAAGATTTGATTGAAGTTGTTCAAGGTTACATTCGAACTTCGATTTGACAATTTCAACTAATGCATATGAAGGTTTACGAATGTATTGTGTGTTGCTTGGAAATGTCTCGGAAAGAACTTCTGTTGACACAGAATCTTCTTCGTAGACAAGTTGTCGAAAGATACCATTCATTCCGTTAATAAGACACAATTCAATAGCAACGTTTTGTGTTAAAATAACAGGCATTCCAGGAACTAGAGGTAGCAAACCTGGTAGATGCTCTGTTTTGCTATCGGATAATTCTAGCAGTTTTTTAACGAGTATTGGATCTTCAATTGGTTCGCCTTTGCAAGTGTCTTGAGCCACACATATAATTGGTGCTTGTCTCGTTTCTGCTGCCTTGTGAATTGCTACCTTGTTGTTCAATTGTGTCCGTACTTCATTTCGGAACACAAGAATCGGAGCCTAAAAAGATGAAAATAGAAAATTGTTGAAAACGAAAAAAGAAGACTTACTTTATTCCAAGGTTCATCGCGTAGAGAATCTACTGATGATTGTCCAACAACTCGCGTCAACAATAATTCATAATCGTCGTAATTACATTGTCCATGACGAAGTCGTTCGAGTAATTGAAGGTACCGTGGATCTTCTGTTCGCATTTGTTGAGTAAGTTTTACCATACAATTAATGTGAAGAATTAAAGAACGTGCAACACGTCGTTGAATTTCTTTTTCTGTGGGTAGCTTACCCGATTTCTTTTTGGATGGTAATGAAAAATCGGTGTGCAATGGTGCATTATAAACAGGCCGATATTGGAAGTAGTCACCAAAGAAGATAACATTCACACCACCAAATGGAACTTGAGGATCAACATGTTTTGCAGAGCAAATAATTCGATTAAGTTTTGCTAGTAAATTTAAACCAACCATACTCATTTCATCGATTAATACATATTCAACAGCACGAAAAAGTTGTGATTTGCCTGTACCGCCACATCCAGGTATGCACATTATAAGTTGACCATTATTATCACCTGAAAATACTGTATACTTCAATTCCTAATAAATTAATTTATAAAAGTACCTGTACGACATCGGCTGTCTCCATCAAGATAACTTGTTATTATCATGAATGCAGCTCGTTGTTCTCTTTTTAATGTAAATTCATCTGCAACGCTTTTTTGGGTAGGAGAGTTGGTTGTGACTGAGACCACTAGAAGAATTAAGCCATAGTTTTCAAAATTGTTTTTATTATAATTATTTGGATTCACCACTGTAACAATAGCATCTTTTGCAGTATGTAAATCTATTGTATCATCTGCTTTGTCATAGTTGCCTGTAATTAAACTTCTTCTAACTCGTTCTTTCTCAGCTTTCAGCTGTTCTTGCCATTTTATGTTTAATCGAACAAGATTTGGTGCTACAGAAACGAACGGTACAAGTTGTTGATTCGAAGTATCGATAAATTCATTTAAAGAAGATTGGCAATGAGCTATAAAAAATTTTACATATTTATTTTCAACTTAAACTAACTAATTATCTTAAAACATTACTTACTATTTATATAACTAAATCGTCCAACATTTTCGACTGCTTCAATAGTTTCTTCAATATATTTATCTTCTGTTGATCTTTTTGTGGCATTAACCACTGCAGTTGTGTATTCATCTATATTGCCTATTAATTCTAATAAGTCTTCACTATCGTCCATATCATATTCGCCATCAATGTGTTGATTTGCAGGCAAAAGAACGGGATTGATTGTATCATTATGTGTTTGAGCTTCAGTAATAACTTGAAGTAAATGTTCATCGCGATCCTTTTTACATTCATGTAAAAGTTGAATATTTTCTATGATCTTCCATGAATGAATAGAAATACGAATTTGTCGAGATTTAAAAGCATCTTCCCATGTTTGATTGGCGCTACAAAGATCAATAACAGTGCGCCAAGGTACGAAAAGTGTGAGAATAGCTCGACTGTATCGTTCTCGAGTATCATCACGATCTTGTTGAGGAATTTGTGGGCCATAAAGAATAGGTACATGGCGCTCACTGTATTTCATCAAGAGATGTGTTGTTGTTTGTGGATGCTGCTTTTGAAAAGGATAACGTTCATTATGTGGTCGACCTTTTTCATTAATTTTGTCTTTCATCGATGCTGCAGCTTCAGATAAATATTTCAAATCTGTTGTGTTCATATTTTTCTTATATAGCGTGCTGACAAAGTCGTATAAACACATATCATTGAGAATATCAGAGCGACATTGGTAATCAATTCTTGTATTAATGAGTACATATTTTTTATCGTTTTCAGTTGATTGAATTTGAAAATGTTCTTCGTCTTTGTTTTCATCATCAATAGCTTCATCGTCATATACATCATCGTCAATTACATCTGAATAAAAAAAGACAATATATATTGGTTATTATTTAATTATAAGATTTCATCTCAAGCAATCTTCACTGTTTCTCATTCATACGTGTAGTAGAAATAACGGTTAGAATATTTTTCTATTGTACAGTTTAAGATTTTGTAACATCAAATAGAACATCTCGATGACACAAAGATGAGAGAAGAGAAAAAAATATCGTACTGGTTCTCTGTATGACATCTTCAGGAAAAAAAAGATATATATGTAATGAATACCACTATTACAGGTCTAACAATAGCAAAGTATATTTTCGATGAATAAAACAATCATTAACTTAATTTTCAGAGATAAGTTCCTCTCACGTCTTTCTTCCTCTTTTCATCCTGTTTTATCATTAGTCCTTTTATTATAATTTCTACGAACGCATTCAATGAAAAAGCATACTGACCTTGCATTGAACCTTTGGGTTTTTGTTTGGAGTGTATTTCATTCAATTGTGTTTGTAAATACCGTTCGGTCTGAATTAAATAAAGACCTTGAAACTTATGTGTTATGTAATGATCATCCCAATTCATGAGATATGAAGCAACTTGAACTCCAGATAGCTCTTGTTGAGAAGCAAGTGTATTGTAACATCGTAAAACGAGTTTTCGTGATTTTTCAATTGCATCTGTTTTGTCTGTTTGATATAAATATTAGATAAGTCGAAAAGAGAAGAGAAGAAATGTTTGGGTTTTGCTGAAAGAAAAAGATATTGATGAAATTTCTCGATAATTATCTCATTTGTCGAAAAGAAAGATTTGTTACTGCATCTTATCAATTTCCGAAATACTTCGATAAAAATGTTCAATTTAAAGTGATGTTTTATTAATGATCCTATCTTCTTTATGATATTATGAGTTTAAATTTTTAGGATGTAGGTGTTGTTTCTATTTAAATGATGAAAAATACAAAATTTATTCTTCAGACGATTTTCGTTTGCAAAATCTTCGTTTTCCATACATAATCATTTGTCACTTATCAGTCTATCAAACCACATGATGAATAATGATCGCTGGTTTTCTTAGCGTATATGAACAACATGTATGAAACAAAAAAAGTGCCAGAATTCGAAAAGAGAAAAATAAAATCGAATCTTTTAATTATGTAATTTATATTTGAGATGTCGAAGGTTTAAAAAGGTTATTAATGATTCTGGTCAATAATTAGTATGTCATAGGTGATTTCTCTATTTTAAATACGAAGTCAGAAAAAAAATTCAAATTGTTTTTATTATGATAAGTAGAATGATGAATAAATCATTGAAAATCGAAATTGACTTTTAAATGTACAAATCTACACACTAAATTTAAATGCATCGTGTTTATGTGTCGTGATTTATTGTGTTGTGCGCTCCAGCACAAAATAGTGTCGTGCCTTGAATGTGTCGTATATGAATTTGTCGCGTTCTGTCTGTCGACTATTCATTCACCGTTCTGTTATGCACACATGGCGATATATAAACAACGCGGTTCAACGTACGAAAGATAAATTTTCAAAACATTCTTCTTTTCTAGATTATTTCTCGATCATTTTTTAATCGAGAAAATGCCAATTTCGATCTACGATCGAGAGAGGACTACCCTGAAATGGTCTGGTGTAAATCGGACCGACTGGAGATCGGCCAGATCTCAGGATATGACCTGTCTGAATTATTCAGAATATGAATAAATAAATGGAAATAAATTGAAAAAAAAACTCGAAATATGCTTTTCCAAAAGAATCAATGAAACATGTGACGGATGTGTCGTAAAAAATGTGTCATGGTCTTGCTGGCCAAAATGTGTCGCAACGAGCACCTCGTGTCGTAAATCACGACACATCCGACACATTTTAACTTAGTGTGTACCGACGAAGTGAAAGATTCAGCAACGATTAACAACATTATGAATAAAATTGTCAATATTTTCAAAAAAAAAGATCAATATTTCTCTTCATCGAATTCTCGCGCTTTTTTTGTTTCGTGCATGTTCTTCGTATAAGCTGAAAATATGAACGATCATTAGTCATTACGCCTTGTGACAAATCGATAACAAACAAACAGTTGTCTATAGAAAAACAATATTTTTCGAAATAAAATCATATGAAAAATAAACCTCTTAGTATCCACTATTTAGATAAAATCAACACATACACTCTAAACAATTTTAGTTCATCATATGATAATCTGAATCGAATTGTTAATAACAAATAAGATGAATTAAACATTGTATCGAATTATTTCCTGAATTTCATGTGAGAAAATACGAAATCGTTGTTTTTCAATAAATCATATAATTATCGAAAAATATTTCGTTCGTAGATATAGGTATTTTTTTCAATAAGATATCCTTCTGTTTCTCCTTTAAAACATACTGTGTTGATCAAAATATCTTTTGATATTAGATAGTAAATCTATATTTTTTTTCAAAAGTCGGTTGTGTGAATTTTTCTGAGAGTGTACAATTTTTCGTAAAGTTCATTTTCTGTTATTTTAAATATAACTATTGATATCCTATTCCTTTTAGACATTTTGTTATGTCTTATCCTACATCGTTTATCAGTCCATGTGCATACACATTCATTTCTTTGCCATACAGCTTTGTTCTACATCTATACAGTGTGTTAGAAGAAAAACAAGTAAAAAGATTATAAGATAACATTATATACGTATGATCTTTTTTCGTTTTACTAAAAGTTTTGATTTCTTTATCAACTCTCATTGATAAAATTTGTTGAAATAAAGTTAATAATTTTTAAATATTTTCTTTTAGATAAAGACAATGTTCTCAAATCAAAATATGATTAATACAGCTACTGGTGCTAGTCCATTATGTTCTAGTACTCGTGATGTTACTTGTTCTTGTATTTGTTTTCGCACAACAATTCGATCAACATCAAATGAAAATTTTGATCCTTGATGAATTGTTTGTCATCAGGAAAAACAAAACGTAGAAGAAAATATCTTAAAGAATAGAATAGTTGTCAATAATTTTTTTTTCGATTATTTTGAAAAATCAAGTAACTAGTTCAAAAGCTTTGAAATGAAAACTTATTTTCTCAATTGATTTCATCTTAAGAGATAATTTTACTAATATTTGATTTTCTGATCTAGAAAGTCATAGGTTATATTATTTTTGAAAATGATTGAATACAAAAATTTATTGACTGATTATTGTTTTTTTTATATACTTAGATTGAAAGAGGATATCGGTATGATTAAATAAATCATTTCAATAAAATTTATACTATTAGAATAAAATAAATAAATATTTGTTTGTTTTTTATTTTCTCAAGATGTAATCGAAAAATATTGCTACGGTTGAGAGAAACAATATAAGTAAGAAAATAAAATTAAAAGAAATTTTTTTATTCAACTATTATGAATAAGCTAAGGTCTATTGGAAGATGAATTATATGCTGTTCTTCATTTATTCTAGAATCTTCAAAAATGAGAAATCATCATCTTCATCATTATCATCAACAGATTCATCAAATAGTAGTACAACATCTTTATTATCTTCTGCTTTATGAATAAAACTTTTATCATTAATATCGATGAGTGAGACGTTTTTTATTGTTTCGGTCTAATCATTAATAATAGTTTGATATTTTTTTCGTTTAGATTTCAATGATGCATATGGTTTGAGCTCAAAGGAGGTTCTTCTTTAACAAGGAACAATATGAACAACAACCGTTGTTCTATCAATATTGAGATTCCGATACAAGATCTGCAATGATGGTGAGAATTAATACTATATGGAAATTAACTTATTGATCTTTTTTTAAACAGCCTAAAAATATTATTTTAATGATTAATATATATCAATTGCAATTTGCTTTTTTTTTAGTCAATTGCCATCACGACAATTACTGTACAATAAGCCATTGTCAAAAGTATTACAAATCTCATGATTATTGTTCAATATAAGATTATAGTACCAAACTTACCACATGTATTATTGATGATGAAGAACAATTGAAATTTTGATGTAGAAGAATATACAAATAAGAAATAATTGTGAATCATATTATTACATATTGTATATCATTTTAGTATAATATATCATTTTTTTAAAAATAGTGATAAATTTATATTTCTGACCTTTGTTTATCTTATGATTGCTATTGAAGAAAAAGTAGATACTAAAGAATTATTTTATAAATAGTTTAAACAAATCATGTATCATCAGGATATAATTGTTGTTCTTCATTCTTGTTTAATGGATTACAATAAAGTAAAACGTTTTATTATTAAATGATATTTTGATATGAAATGGTTTACAGAACTTTTCAAGTTATTGTCGTATACATTGTGGTGAGACATATTTTTTTCCGAACACTCTTCCTTCAGAACCGCTCCACGGTGATGTCTCCAAAATATATACATTTTTTTCCCATTTCAAATATATTTGAAACAATTTTCAATATTCCCATATTTCAATAGAACAAAACAAACAATTCACTTTTGACAAGAATCGATTCGAATCCATCAAGAAGTTAGATCAAATAAATAGTTCAAACTTCACAAATTCCTAATTGACGAATCGAATCAATTCATATGAAATAATAAAAAAACATTTCTTTTTCTCAAAAGGATTATTGATGGTCCTTTAGTTTTTTCTATTAGATTATTCTCAGATTACAGTGTTGATTCTACTTGTCGGTTTGAAAACTAAAGAATTGATCGAATAAAATCTACCGTTGTAGTTATGTATATGTTATCATTCTCCTAATTTCAATCGTGTAGAACGAAATCAAAGGTGATACATCACGTGTTGATTGTGAAACAAAAATCTACACAAAAA